TACTTCCGTCGATCCCATGACCGACGTGCTGTACGACAAGGCGACCCAGAGCGTTGACCCCGAGGTCAAAGCCCAGGCCCTCCGTGACCTCGGCGACCTCAAGTTCGACCTCTATTCCGAGGTCCCCATCGTCTGGCTGCCCGCGCAGGTCGTGGTCAACCCCGCCGAGATCGGCGAGATGGCCTGGCCCGGCAACATCAACGCCAGCTTCACCCACACCGAGTACATCACGCCGGCCGCCAACTAGGCCGCAGGAAACTACGGTACAAAAACTACGGTACAATTTGTAGGGGTCGCCTCGCGCGGCCCCTACATACGATAACAAGGTAGCTCACCGTGCAGCGTTACATCCTCTACCGCGTCGGTCAGTCGATCCTCACCCTGTTGGTGTTGACCGTGATCGTGTTTTCGTTGGCCCGTCTCTCGGGTGACCCGCTGGACGTGTTGCTCCCGCTGGAAGGCCACCAACGAAGACGCTGAGCGCCTGCGCGCCGCCTGGGGTCTCGACCGGCCCGTGCACATCCAGTATTTCACCTTCCTCGGCAACGCCCTCACCGGCGATTTCGGGGACTCCCTCCGGGTCCGTGGCCGCAGCGCCATCAGCCTGGTGCTGGAACGCCTTCCCAATACCGCGGCCCTGGCCGGTGTGGCCATCGTGGTGGCAATCGGAATTGCCGTCCCTATCGGCGTCATGTCGGCGGTCAAGAAAGATACTCCCTTCGACTACGTGGGCAAGGTCATCGCCCTGTTCGGCCAGTCTCTGCCCGCCTTTTGGCTCGGCCTGATGCTGATGTGGGTATTCGCCGCCCAATTGGGCTGGTTCCCGGTGTCCGGCAAGGAGCAGGGCGCCCTGTCGTACATCCTGCCCGCCATTGCCATCGGTTGGTTCCAGGTGGCCGCGCTCATGCGCCTGGTGCGCTCGTCGATGCTGGACGTGCTCGACTCGGAGTACGTCAAGCTGGCCCGCATCAAGGGCGTCGTGGAGTGGAAGGTGATCTGGAAGCATTGCTTGCGCAACGCCGCCATCGCCCCCTTCACCTATTTTGCCCTCATCATCGGCTCCCTGATGGTCGGCTCCGTGTCCATCGAGTTCGTCTTCGCCTGGCCCGGTGTCGGCCGTCTGGCCGTGGATGCCGCGGTAACCAAGGACTTCCCGGTGGTGCAGGCAGTTGTAATCACCTTCTGCATGGTCTATATCGTCGCCAATCTGCTGGTGGACATCGCCTACGCGTATGTCGACCCCAGGATCCGCTTCAGCTAGGAGAAAGCCCCGTATGGCTGCCGAAACACCCGTCGCCAGCCCACCGATCAGCGATGCGTTGGCGGAAGCCGACGCCCAGCAATCCGGAAAGATCGTCAGTGTCTGGCGGGAAGCGCGTCGTTATCCCCTGTTCCCCATCGCGCTGCTGCTCATCGTATTGGTGGTTCCAGCCATCGCCGCCGACTGGATCGCCCCCCATGATCCCAAGATCGGCAGCCTGTCCGCCAAGCTGACCCCTCCGATTTGGATGGAAGGCGGCAACTCCGAGTACCTCCTCGGCACTGACCGCGTCGGCCGCGACATCCTGTCCCGCATCATGCACGGCGCTCGGGTATCCGTCGTCATTGCCGCCGTCGCCATCTGTATCGCCGGTGTCGTGGGAACCTCAACGGGTGTCATCGCCGGCTATTGGGGCGGGTGGGTTGACGCCCTGGTGATGCGGCTGGTGGACATTTCGTTGTCCATCCCGATCATCCTGTTGGCCCTGGTGATCGTCGCGGCCACCAAGCCCAGCATGGCCACGGTCATCACCGTGCTCGTCCTGCTCATGTGGTCCCGCTACGCCCGTCTCGTTCGCGGCGAAACCCTGGCGGTTCGGGTGCAGGACTTCATCTCCCGCTCTCGCGTTTCGGGAGCGTCGCATCGCCGGATCATGTTGAAGCACGTCCTGCCCAACGTGTTCAACAGCGTGATCGTGCTGGCAACGCTGAACGTTGGCTTCGTCATCATCCTGGAAGCCACGCTGAGCTTCCTGGGCGCCGGCATCCCGCCGCCACAGCCTGCCTGGGGCCTTATGGTCGCCGACGGTCGGGTGCTCATCGCGTCGGCCCAGGGCTGGTGGGTCTCCCTCTTCCCCGGCCTCGCCATTATGCTGGTCGTGCTCAGCATGAACCTGTTGGGCGACTGGCTCCGGGACCGCCTCGACCCCAAGCAGCGGCAGGTGTAGTCCGGCGCTAACCCGCCCGCGGTGCTCTGGGGCGCAACATCAGCTGCAGGTCTTGCTCGGCAATGCTGATGACACCGTCCGCGAGTTGCACCAATTCATGGGCGACGCCCTGATTTCGGGGCGTCGCCACTATGACCCGAGCCCCGAAATCCTGCGCGGTCCGAACGGCTTCCGCCAGGTCGCGGTCGCCAGCGAAAAGGACCGGGGTGTTGTACGCCGGGCGCTGCGCCAGTCGCACTATGTCCAAAGCAATCAACGTGTCGACACCCTTCTGCTGGCGAACGGGGCGGAATTGCCAACGGTGGTGAAAAGCGTCCAGCAACCGTTGGGGTTCCAGCCCCAGGTCTGTGGCGGTTTGCCGCAATGCATTTCGGATCAAGGGCTGGATTGGATTGGGGTGTTCCGCAATATGTCCCGTGCGAAGTTGGATACCATGAGTGCGCCCAATGGCGTCCAACAAACTTCTTTGACCCGCATAATCATGGTGAGAAGGGTCAAACGCTCCGTCGTACCAGTAGGCTCGCAGGAAAGATGCTCCGCCCAGCTCCTCGTGCCCCAACCGGCGAAGCCAGTTGACAACCTCCGCAGCGTTGGGATTGAGCGCTGCCGCACGTTGTTTCAGTGCGGTGGCTCCGGCAGCCCGCAAAAACCCGACATCCACAAATCCAACGAAGGTTTCAGATGTCATCCATGACCCCACGAAATAAGGGCCCCGAAGGGCCCTGGCTAGCCGGCCCATCTGGGCCGCGCAACTAATCGGCCTCAATGGGCTGTTGTTGTCCAGCGATTCTGTCAGTTTAAATGGAAAGCGACTTTGTCAGTCTGAACGGTTGATGGCTGGTTGAAATGATCCGCTGACGCCACGGTTGATGGGGAGATTGGTCGGCTGGGTCAGGGAGCGGGCGTACTTGCGGACAGTGTTGCGGTGTACGCCCAGTTGACGTGAGATCTCTCGCAGGGATAGACCCTGGGCCTGGGCCTGCTGCACCGCCTTCCAGAGGGCCAGCTGTCGCGGGGTGAGTTCCCGGCGGGATGGAGGTTCACTGTGATGGTTCTCGACCGCCGGTTCCTCGACGACGGGATCGGGCTCCAGGTTGGCCAGGTGTCGCAGCTGGGGTTGGCTGACGCGATGATTGCCCAGGCGTTTCACGATGCGGCCGATTTCTGGGTTGGGAGCCAGAGCGCCGTGGGAAGCGCGCAGTGCACCGGGTCGGGGCGGCGCTGGCCGGCAGGGGATGATCTCACCCTCATGGCGTACTTGGAGGCGGCCATCGGTGTGTTCGAGGACTTCCACCTGGACACCGGCGTAGCTGGGACGCTCCCGGCTGGGCAGCAGTTGCAGGGTGCGCCACTGGTACTTGACCGTGTTGTCCCGAGCCACCTTGCGGGTGCGCTTGAAGCAGAGGATTTCGTCCAATGCCCGCTTTCCGTGCCACGGGCGGTAGGCAGGCTCCGGCAGATCGGCCGGGACAGCAAACCGTGTGTTATAGCGAGGCAGGAAGTCCCTGAGCACGGCATTGGCCTGGTCTATGGTGCTGGCGCCGGCGAGACGCAGTTCGGTCACCAGCCGGTCCTGAAAAGTGCCGGCGGCCCGTTCCACACGGCCTTTCGCTTGCGGCGACCGGGCGAAGATCTGCTGGATGCCCAGTTCCACCAGGGCCTTGCTGAAGTGAGTGGCTTCCACCGGCAGCTTGACGTGCTTGGGCTTGCCGGAGAACTTGAACACGCCGTGGCGGTCGCTGTACAGGGCGATGGGCAAGCCCCAGCGCTCGATCAGTCCCCGCATCAGGGTGAAGTATCCCCGGGTGTCCTCCTCGGGACTGAACACCGCGTTGACCACGGCGCTGGTGGCGTCGTCCACCGCCAGCAGCAGGGTGAATTGGGGACCGTTATCGCCCAGCCACCGGTGGAAACTGCCGTCGATCTGCACCAGCATCCCAGCCTGGGGCATCCGCTGCCGCCGCACCCGATGCTTGGGCGGACGCCGGTGGCGTGGGCTGGGAATGCCCGCCCGGGTCAGAATGCGCCGCACGGTGGGCCGGCTGAGGTCGATGCCCTCTCGGTCCCGGAGCAACTCGGTGAGGTGGGTGTGGTTGGCGCCAGCGTAGGTGGTGCTGGCCAACTGGATCACCGCGGCTGCCTCATCGTCAGAAACAGCGTTGCGGGGTCGGCGGCCTCGGTTCCCGTGGGCCAGTGCGGCGGCGCCCTCCTTGCGATAGTCCGCCAGAATTCGCCAAGCATGGCGTTCACTCACCCCCAGGATCTCGGCAGCCTGGGCTACCGGTAGCTGGTGTTCCAATACTGAGTTGAGCACGTGAAGTCTCGTCTGTTCTAGCTGGTTCAATGTCAAGTCCTTCATAGACTGACATTGTCGCTGACCAGTTAACTACTGACCGAATCGTAGACCATCGACAAATGGGCCGCTCATCTAATGTCCCAACGGGACATCTAAAATATAGCGGCCTCTGACCAAACTTGCAAACACTCGGACGCACTATTCACGCCCGCCTTTGCTCAGCCCGTTCAACAGACACTGGTCATGGTGAGCATGCCGGATCCTGAAGACAGCGGAACTTCGCATCACCGAGTTCTCCCGGCGCACCATTAATCAAGAGTATCCTGTGCATCGCGTTCGTCTTGACCATCCGGGCTGACGTATGACCACCAATATTTGAATCTGCGCCCGCGTGCACGGGTGTCCCGGTAGTCCGGCCGGCCCAATGGCGCCCAGCCTATCCGACCTTTACAATAGCCTTGCGTTCAAAGCGTTCAACCTCACTTAGGAGCCAAACCATGCAACTCGGAGCCATCTTCCCCCAGACTGAAATCGGCGCCGACCCCATCGCCGTCAAGGACTTCGCCCAGGCCGCCGAGGCCCTGGGTTACGAGCACCTGTTGGTCTTCGACCACGTCCTCGGCGCCGACCACACCCAGCGCGCGGAGTGGAACCGTCCCTACAACAAGGACGATATGTTCCACGAACCTTTCGTGATGTTCGGCTACCTCGCCGCCCTCACCGAGAAGATCGAGTTCTGCACCGGCATCATCATCCTGCCCCAGCGCCAGACCGCCCTGGTCGCCAAGCAGACTGCGGAGGTAGACGTCCTCACCAACGGCCGCCTGCGCCTGGGCATCGGCGTGGGCTGGAACGAGGTTGAGTTCGAGGCGTTGGGCGAAAACTGGGAGAACCGCGGCCGCCGCTCCGCCGAGCAGGTCGAGGTCATGCGTATGCTCTGGACCCAGGAGGTCGTGAACTACGAGGGCCGTTACCACAAGATCACCCACGCCGGCATCAATCCCCTGCCCGTGCAGCGGCCCATCCCCGTCTGGTTCGGCGGCGGCGCGCCCCAGGTCGTGCGGCGCATCGCCCGCACGGGTGATGGCTGGTTCCCCCAGTTCCAGCCCGACGGCGCGGGCCGCGAACGCCTGGAGGAGATGCGCGAGCTGGCCCGGGGCTACGGGCGGGATCCTTCCGCCATCGGCGTCGAGGGCCGCGCCTCCCTGGCCGACAGCAACAACCCCGACGACTGGAACAAGCTGGCCGCCGACTGGAGCGACGCCGGCGCCACCCACTTCTCAGTCAACACCATGCGCGCCGGTCTCAAGGGCCCCGACCAGCACATCGAGGCCATCCGACGCTTCAAGGAAGCCGTCAGCTAGCCGGGCGACCTGCGGTCGCAAAGAATGCGTAGGGGCGAATGATCATTCGCTCCGGTTTCGCCTTGCCCGCCCGGCGCTGCCGGTCCCATTGGGTCGCCAGTTGACGCCGGAACACCCTCGAAAGAACAAGAGGAGCCATGCGATGACGGCGCCTCCGGCAATGGGAAAACTGCGATTGGCGAGAAAACCGATGACCTCTGATTGGGCGTATGCTGGGTATTGTCTGCCCACGATTCGTTGCGAAGCGCATACATTGTAGCCAATAAGGGATATATTCCGCATATAGTTAGCGCATTTGTTGTCGTTGCAGGATTCCGGTGAACCCCATCCCGGATCCACACTGAGGATACGAATTATGACCGACCAAGAATCCAACGTTACTCTGATCTGGGCAGCAGACCTGGTGCGGCACTCGGCTTTCCTGCGCCAGGAGATCGCCGGCATCGATTTCGGTGTGATGACGGATCTGACCGGATTGTCGGAAGACGGGATAGCGTCGGCTGTTCAAGAATTCGATCGCAGCGCGCAGGTAACCGCCCAGTTCAAACGCCTCGTCCATGGCATCCCGGTCGGTTCATTCGTCGTAACGGGAGCTGCCAAGGGCGTCAGCCGGCGAGATCGCAGGTGGTCCATCGGGCAGGTGGTGAGCGGATATGAAATTCCAACGCCTGAACGCCTACGACCGCCACACCATCAGGGTCAAGTGGGCCAGCCAGTCCTACTCGGAAGAGGAGCTGACACGGCTGATCGAGGTCAACCCGGGCGGCCGCCGGTCCACGGTGACCCCGCTGAGTGTCGTTTACGCTCCGGAACACGACGCCGGCGCGGTATAAGGGTTGGCTGGTACTCAGACCTTCCCCACCAACTCCTTCAGCGCCGCGTAGGTCCGCGGCCCCGTCTCGCCGTCGTCCTCGCCGGCGAAGATGTTGGCCATGAAGTCGGTGGCCCCGCCGGCGGCGAACTCCTCCAGCTGACGGCGCAGCGCCTCCTCGTTGCCGATCACCGCCACCTCCGACGGACCTTCCACGCCCTCGATGTCCAGCACCCGGCGGTAGTTCACCAGCGTCCCGTATCGTTCGTAGGCCTCCGCAGCCTGGCGTCGGCCGGTGGCCTCGTCGTCGCACACCGTCGTCGGCAGGCCCACGCACACGCGGGGCATGTCCCGTCCGCTGGCCTCCGCCGACTGCCCGATACGCGGCGTGATGTGTTCGCGGATCGTGCGTGGCCCCGCCATCCAGGTGATGGTCCCGTCAGCCCGTTCGCCGGCCAGCCGCAGCATGCGCGGCGCCAACGCCGAAATCAGCACCGGACACTTTGGCCGGTCCAGCACGTCCAGTTCCGCGTTCACGTTGTAGAACTCGCCGGAGAATTGCACCCGACCTTCCTCCATCAGCGGACGCAGCACCGACAGGTACTCCCGCACGTGCAGCGCCGGCCGGTCGTACGACAGCCCAAAGCTCCCCTCAATGCCCGGGCGGTGCGATGGCCCGAGTCCCAGCAGGAACCGCCCGTTGCTCGCCGCCGCCGTGGTCAGCGCGTGTTGCGCCATTGCAACCGGATGCCGGGGATAGGTCGGCACCACGCCGACCCCGAGTTCGATCCGGCTGGTCTGCACTCCCGCCAGCGCCAGCACCGTCAGCGCGTCGTAACCTCGCGCCGAAATGTGCGGCACCCAGAAGCTGTCGAACCCGTCCTCTTCCGCCTGCTTGATCCGCCCGATCAGTTCGTCAAGGCTCATCAGATCGGCCGTCGACGCTCCAACAAACACTCCGATACGCATTGTCGTCCTCCATGTGCCGGTTGGCGAGGCGATCCAACCCTGTTTGCGTTGTTACGCGGTCAGTATCCTCTCCGCGACTTCCCGCGCCTCGTCCCGCGTGCTCACGAAGCGGTCCGCCGGAACGCGGTGCAGTATGTTCAGCGCCCGCAGGTTCCGCTCCACGGGGCCGGAAAGCCCCATCACAATCGGTTCCGTGTCCTCGTCCAGCGCCACGTCAATCATCTGCTCCACCACCATGGCCGCGCTGTCGTCCATGTACGCGGTCTCGGTGAAGTCGAATATCACCACCTCGTGCTCCTGGATGTCTTGGCCAATGGTGCTAACCAGGTTGCTCGACGACGCCACCGAGAATCGCCCCCGCAGCGCGACCAGGCCCACCCGGGCGGAGAACGGGTCCGCGTCACTGGCGTCCAGTCCGGTCGAAAGGAAGCTCTGATCCAGCAGCGGCACGGACACGACGCTGTCCAGCTCCTGCCTCTCCAGCAGCCGCGCGCTGGCCATCCCCGCCGCGATCAAACCGATGGCGATCGCCGTCACCAGGTCCAGGAACACGGTCAGCGCAAGGTTATCACCATCACCAGCAGGTGCTCCCGCGGCAGTTGGTGTACCCGCTTCACGAACCGCCAGTCCATGATGTCCCAGCCCACCTTCATCAGGATTCCGGCCAGCACTGCGTGGGGTATCGCCTCCACGTACCGGCCCAGCCCCAGCACCAGCGCCAGCAGCACCCCCGCGCGGATCGCTCCGGACAGCTGCGTGTTGCCGCCGGACCGGATGTTCACCACGGTTCCCAGGGTCGCTCCCGCTCCCGGCAGTCCGCCGACCAGCCCGGCAATCATGTTGCCGATGCCCTGCCCGATCAGCTCCCGGTTGGGGTTGTGCCGCGTTCGCGTCAGCGAGTCCGCGATCAGTGACGTCAGCAGGCTGTCGATGGATCCCAGCAGGGCCAGTACCAGCGCCGGCTGCAGCGCGTTCAGGATGAACCCCACCGAGAACGCCGGGAACTGCAGGTCCGGCAACCCGGTCGGCACCTCCCCGATGATCGGCAGGTCGTTCAGCCACAGGATCCCCAGCGCACAGCCCACGATCATCGCCGCCAGCGGAGCCGGCAGGATCTTCCGGAATGGCCGCGGCCACAGGATTCCCACCACCAGCGTCACGGCCGCCACCGCCAGCGCGTGGAAGTTGACGTTGGTCACCGCGTTTTCCAGCGAATTGACCGCGCCGATCACGCCGCCCACGGCCACCGGCGACCCCAGGAACGGCGCGATCTGCACGATCATGATGATCACGCCGATCCCCGTCATGAACCCCGAAATCACCGAGTACGGCGTGTACGCCACGAACCGTCCGATTCGGGCGAGGCCCAGCGCCGCCTGCAAAAAGCCGGCCAGCATCACGATGGTGAACGCTTCCGCCAGGGTGTTCGCGTGGCTGGTTACGATCACCGCCATCGCGATTGCCATGGGCCCCGTCGGACCCGATATCTGCGACCGCGTCCCGCCGAATACCGACGCGAAGAACCCGACGGCTATCGCGCCATACATGCCGGCGGTCGGGCCCAGGCCGGACGCCACGCCGAATGCCAGCGCCACCGGCAGGCCGACTACCGTACAGGTCAGGCCTCCGAAGATGTCGCCGCGGAGATTGTCCAGACTGTAGTCGAACTTCACGACTTCAGCAGCGCGGATACCCGGTCCAGGATCTTGTGGCCCACTTCGTATTTCGTGAGCAATGGCAGTCTTTCAACTTCCATCTCGCGGTCAATCAGAACCACCCGGTTCGTGTCCACGCCAAACCCGCTGCCTTCTTCGGTAATATCGTTGGCCACTATCAGGTCCAACTCTTTGCGCCGCACTTTGTCCGCGGCATTCGCCTCCAGGTTCTCGCTTTCCGCTGAGAACCCGACCCGCACAAAATTCCCTCTGGCCGTCGCCAATATATCCGTCGTCTTCTCCAGGTCGATGGACATCTCGTCCGCGGCCGTCTTCTTTATCTTCTGTTCTGCCATCACCGACGGCCGGTAGTCCGCCACCGCCGCCGCCATGATCAGCGCGTCCGACATCGGCGTCTCCGCCAGCACCGCGTCGCACATGTCCTGCGCCGACTTCACCCGTATCGTCCGCACCAGCGGCGGATCCGGCAACGCCGTCGGCGCCGTCACCAGCACCACCTCCGCACCCCGGTCCCGCGCCGCCTCGGCCACGGCGTATCCCATCCGTCCCGAGGAGTGATTCGTGATCACCCGCACCGGGTCGATCGCTTCCTGGGTCCCACCGGCGCTTACCACCACCTTCCGTCCGGCGAAGTCTCCGTCCTTCCCCAGCGCCGCCGCGATGTACCCCAGGAGATCCGCCGGCTCCACCAGCCTTCCTATTCCCATCAGTCCGGACGCCAACCGACCCGGCGCCGGCCCGGCCAGGAACACGCCCCGGCTGCGCAGCCGCGTGATGTTCTCTTGCGTCGCCGGATGGTCGAACATGTTGGCGTCCATGGCCGGCGCGACCAGCAGGGGCGCCTCGGTCGCGATCACCGTCGTCGTCAGCGGATCGTCCGCCAGGCCCCCGGCCAGCTTCGCGATGCAGTGCACCGTCGCCGGAGCGATGACGACGATATCCGCCCACCGCGCCAGCGCGACGTGCTCCACACTGTGCTCCGAGTCCGCGTCGAAAGGTGTCCGTCACCACCGACCGGTGCGTCAGGCTGCGGAACGCCAGCGGTGTCACGAACTGTGTCGCGCCGTAGCTGAGGATCGTTTCGACGTGGGCCCCAGCCTGTACGAGTTTGCTGGCCAGGTCCAGCGCCTTGTAGCAGGCGATGCTCCCGGTCACCCCCAGCACGATGTTCTTGCCGGCCAGCGCGGAATCCATGTCAGCCCGCCCGGCTCATGCCGGCCGATGCGCCGGAGCTGGGGAGCCCCGCCGCGTTCTTCCGGTAGATGATGTCCAGCCCGACCAGCGTCAGTTCCTGGTTGATGTCGTCGAACACGGGCACATGATCCGAGATCACCGTCACCAGCCCGCCGGTGCCCACTACCCTGGCGTCCTCGCCGATCTCCGCCTTGAACCGCCCGACCATTGCCTCCACCAGCCCCGCGTACCCCAGCACGATCCCCGACTGCAACGACGTCGTCGTGTTCCGCCCCACGGCCTCCGCCGGCGCCACCAGCTCCACCCGCCGCAACTGCGACGTGTTGTAGTACAGCGCGTCCGCCGACAGGTTGATCCCCGGCGCGATGGCCCCGCCCAGGTACTCCCGGTCCCGGGACACCGCGTCGAACACCGTCGCCGTGCCCAGGTCCACCACGATCATTGGCGCGCCGTAAAGCTCCACCGCCGCCACCGCGTCCACGATCCGATCCGCCCCCACATCTCGTGGGTTGTCATAACGGACGGGCATCCCCAGGTCGATCTGCGACGTCACCAGCAGCGGGGTCACCCCGAAGAACCGTCGGCACAGGTCCTCGAACATCCCCGTCAGCGGCGGCACCACCGAGCAGATACACGCTGCCGTGATGTCCGTCGTCGCGATCCCCCGGAACTCCAGCAGGTTCTTCAGCAGGATCCCGTATTCGTCCGCCAGCCGCCGCGAATCCGTCGCCACTCGCAGCGTGGTCACCAGCCGCTCCGCCGGATTGGCTCCGTTCTCGCTCCCCCCGGTGGCACTCCCTTTGCGGAACACCCCAACGGTCACGGCCGTGTTGCCAATGTCGATCGTCAGCAGCATCTCAACCTAGTTATCCAATCAACTTCAACGTGTCATCTCATCGGCGGTATTATAAATGTCAACTCGCTTCTCCGCAAACTATTTTCAGTTCAAATCCCTAATATGAAAACGACAGGTTGTTATGGTGGGATGCCGGTAGGTGCGACGCTCGCGGCGCGCGTTCCTCATGGCAGCATCATGCCCGTGCGTTGCGCAGTTGGATGCCTTCCAGCCAGAACAGCAACTCCTCCGGTCCGAACCGCTCCCGTGGTAGCGCATAACGGGCTGCTCGGTACACCTGGGGTCGCGTGATCAGGGGCATCGGCTTCCCATCCTGCTGCCGGGTCACCACGAAAGCCCCGCCATGCAGGTACATTGAAATGTGATAATGCCATCCTGCGCAATGATGCCAGCCGGCAATGATGCCATCCCCGCCCGAGCACGGATTGCGTACTCGCCCAGCCGCACGACGCTGTTCCCGGCCTCGGACTCGGTTCGATGCGTCACCGGAACCACCCACGTGGCGAGGATCAACCAACCGGGTGTTCTCGGAAGCGTTTGGACAGATAGTAACGGCGTTCGCGGCCGTCCGGGTTCTGGCGATGACCGCCCAGAGGAAATCGCCAGGCTGGTGTCGACTTGTTACCCGCACCCGCTGGGCGCGGTAACGATAGGTGCGCGGCCCCTGGCTGCCCGCCGCGATCGTAATCTCCCGCCAGGCTGTTTCCGGCAACGCGACGCAACGCAACGCCGTGCTGGGCCACGGTTGGCCGCTCCTCCCGCCGCAATGCGGGTTCCAGGTAATGTGAAGGGTGCCCAAGTCGCCATTCTTCAACCCGAGTATCCTGGCCCCGAGTATCCTGACGAAGTGAAACCAGCACCACTCCCGATGATCTCCGTCCTGATCTAGCCAGGATGTTTGTGGTTACTTTGCGGCGGATCGTTTTCACGATCAACGCAGTGTGGCGGAATGGGGCCGTTGTAGCTGGGCTGTCCACAGCCTTCGGCCTGTTGCGATGTATAATCCCATCATCTCAACGACGCAGCCTCTGCCCAGTGCGTTCGTATCCTAATGGAGGCTATTCCCTATGGATTTTGGACTTGAAGGCAAACTGGCATTTGTGGGTGGGGCGAGCCGCGGTATCGGCAAGGCGATTGCCCTGGAATTGGCGCGCGAGGGCGCCGACGTGGTGGTCGGCTCCGCGTTCCATGCGACCTGGAACAACCGCCGTCCGAGATCGTCGAAACCACCGTCCGTCGCGCCATCCCCATGTCGTTGATGCACCAACCGAGAACAGGTGACCGCCCGCGTTATCAACGATGCCGCCGATACGCTGGCGGGCTGCACATTCTGGTCAACAGCGCGTCCTCCCGGGCGGCTCACCGTCGGCGACCGCCCCATTGAGGACCTGATCGACGAGGAACGATCCTCAGCGACTTCGACGTGAAGTTCGTGGGCGCGCTGCGCTGCTCCGGGCCGCCATTCCGATGCTCAAAGCACAGGGCTTTGGCCGCATCATCAACATCAGCGGCCTCAACGCACGCAACGCCGGCAACCTCAGCGGCGGCGCGCGCAATACCTCGCTGGTGCACATGACCAAGACCCTGGCCGCGCAGCTGGGTCAGTTCGGCATCACCGTAACTGCATCCATCCCGGCCCACCGCACCGAGCGCACGCCGAGCCTGCTGGCCTCCCGCGCCGAGCAGCTTGGCGTCTCACCGGAAGAGGCCGAGGCGCAGGACTTCTCTCCCGGCTCGGCCCGAGGCAACCACATCTGCCGCATGGTCGACGCCTCGGAGATCGGTCTACCTGACCGCCTTCCTGGCCTCGACAAGGCGTGGGCGATCACCCTGGCGAGTTGATCGCTGCCGGCGGCGGGACGGGCAGCGCGGTGTACTACTAATCGTGAGCGGGTTTCCCGGCGGCGGCGGCATAACTCACCGCCGCCGGGAATGAAGTAGGATGGAGATCCCCACTCCGGCTATCAGGCATATCCAGTTCATCATTCTGGGTATCTGGCCGGTCAACATATTGACCTTATGGGTAGGTGTCACAATTGGGCTTGGCACAGCACTCCACAGGAAATCATCGGGCTGTGGGAGTGGGGCGCCTTCGTTTCCTTTTCGCTGGGAGTACTGGCGGAATTGGGGGTCAGAATGTTTTTTGCTTTGGCGGAACGCAAGCGACGCATCGCGGAAGCCCGGGAGGAAGGGCGGAAAGAGGCTCGGAAGAGAGGCCGGGAAATGCTGATGATGCTCAACGCGGCGGCGCGAACCGATCCCGACCGCCTGCCTTCGCTGCTGCAGAGTATCAGGAGAAGTCCAGAACGGCTCGGCGAACGCATAGCGTTCAGGCGGCGATTATGACCAACTCCTCGGCTCCCCTCGCCGGCGTGCGCGTGGCGGACTTCTCCGTCCACGCCGCCGGCCCTTTTGCCGGCATGATCCTGGCGTCCCTGGGCGCCGACGTGATCAAGGTGGAATCGGCGGCGCGCCTGGACATCACCCGCCGCCCGCACGCCATGTACGGCAAGCCGCCGTCGTCCTTCGAGCAGGTCAATGCCAGCAAACGCTCTGTGACCCTCAACCTCAAGGAGCCCCGGGCCCTGGAGTTGGCCCATGACCTGGTGCGCATTTCGGACGTGGCGCTGGAAAACTTCCGCCCCGGCGTTATGGACCGGCTGGGACTGGGTTACCCGCAACTGCGAGAGATCAAGCCCGACATCATCATGGTGTCGCTGTCCTCCAACGGGCAGACCGGACCCGAGGCGAGCTACGCTGGATACGCTCCAATGTTTGCGGCGTTGGGAGGGCTCGGCTACCTCACCGGCTATCCCGACGGGCCGCCCGTCGAATTGCGCCACGCCATGGACCACACCGGCGGCATGATGGCGGCCTTTTCAGCCGTCGCCGCCCTGTGCGCCCACCGCAACCATCAGGTGGGGCAGCGCGCCGACGTCGCGGTGCGGGACATCGCCACCGCCTTCATGGGCCAGCTCCCTGATGGACAACCGCCATGAATGATCGCGATGCCCCGCGCATGGGCAACCGCGACGAGGTCATGGCTCCCCACGGGTGTTCCCTGCCGGGGAGAGGACCAGTGGGTGACCATCGCGGTCGCCGACGACAAAGAATGGCGCGCGCTCAAGAACGCAATGGGCAACCCGGGATGGGCCGACGCCGACGAGTACGGCGACGCCTTCCTGCGCTGGCAGAACCAGGACGCCCTGGAGCAGCGGCTGTCCGACTGGACGGCTTTCCGCACCGCTGGAGAGTCAGCGACCTGCTGCATCGGTTGGCGTGGCGGCGGTCCCGTCGCTGTCCGCCGACCAGCTGATGGCCGATCCGCACCTGGCCGAACGTGACGCTTTCCCACCACCATCCATGCCGAAAAAGGCGAGCAGCGGGCGGTGGCTCGCCCTGGCGTTTTCTCGCGGAAACGCCCACGGATGCCCTGCGCTGGACTCCCGAGCTGGGCGAGCACAACCGCGAGGTCTTCTGCGGCCTGCTGGCATGGACGAGGCCCGAACTAGCTATCCTGCAGCAAGCGCACGTCGTTTGGTAGGATGGGCGCCTGACGTCACTGGAGAGGTCTAGATATGGCAGCAGAATTAGTCCCGCAGACGTTGTTAGGCGCGGTGTGCTCCTGTTCACGCTGGGCGCCATTGGCGCCTTTGGAATAGCATGGGCCACACCTCGGGGACATCGGTTCGTTGGTTTCCGACGGTCGGGCCAACCCGAACATCGCTCAGCGAGAAAACCGATGTCCTGCAAACATCGCTCAACGAAAAAACCGGATGTCCTGCAAACTCGCTCACCGAAAAAAAAACGATGTCCTGCGAACATCGCTCAACGAAACAAAACCTATGCCCTTCAAACATCGCTCTCAACGAAAAACCGATGTCCTGCGAACATCGTCAACGAAAAAAAACGATGCCCTTTAAACCTCTCTCGCGAGGAAAACGATGCCCGCGAACCCTTCTAACGAGAAAACCGATGCTCTTCAACCTTCTCTCAGGAGAAAAACGATGCCCTTAGACAACCTCAGGCGAGAAAACCGATGCCCTTCAAACCTGTTTAAGAACTTTCCAAAACCGTTTGCGGATATGCAACTCCAGAGTGCAGCGCAAACATACCATGTGTGATTGGCCATACTACCAAAGTCACCGTTCAGACGGAGACCAACGTTCGAACTTTCGACACGATTTCGAGCCGA